TTCTCACACTGCTAATAAAGATATTCCCAGAACTGGGTAATTTGTAAAGGAAAGAGGTTTAAATGACTCAATTCAGCATGGCTGAGGAGGCCTCAGGAAACTTACAATAATGGAGAAAGTGGAAGCAAACATGTCTTTCTTTACATGGCAACAGGAAGGAAAAGTGCTGAGTAAAAGCAGAGAAAACCCCTCATGAAACCATCACATCTCATGAGAACTCACTCACTATTAAGATAACAGCATGAGGGTAACTGTCCCCATGTTTAAATTACCTCCCATCGGGTTCTTCCCACGACACATAGGGATTATGGGAATTACAATTCAATTTGAGATTTGGGTGGGAACCGACCCAAACCATATAATTATTTGTATATTCTCTTCTGCACATCTTCAACAAAAGGTATTTTGCTCATTTTACAATTGAATTGCTTGTTTCTTTGTTATGTATTTAACGATTGGGTACTAATGACTAGTTATTTACATATTTTAATTTCTAGTCATTTGTTAGATATGTGGTTTGCAAACAGTTCTCCCCATCTGTAGTTTGGTTTTTCATCTTTTTCTCATGGGCTTTCAGAGAGGAAATATTTTTATTCTGATGAGGTCCCAATTTATATTTTTTTACTTTTATGGATTCTACTTTTGGTGCCTAGTATAACAATCTTTGATTAGCCCTTCATTCTAGAGATTTTTCCCCAATTTTTCCCTCAAATTTTTGTTGAATTACATTTTATATCTAATTTGGTGATTCATTTGAATTAATTTTATGTAAAAAGTGAGGTATCACTGGTGATACTTTTCTTTTATTTGTCTATGGATGTTTCATAGCTCCAGCACCTTTTGTTGAAAAGGCTATCCTTCCTACACAGAGTTAGTTTTTTACCTTTATAAAAAAAATCACTTGAGTGTATTTGTGGGGGTCTGTTTTTTAGTTCACTGTGTGTTCAGTTGACCTATGCGTCTATTCCTCTGTCAATACCATACTATCTTGGTTACCATAGTTATATAGTAAGCCTGAATATTGAGTAGAATATTTCCTCCTGTTTGTTCTACTTTGTCAAGCTTTCTTTAGTTATTCTATGACCTGTGCCTTATAATAAGCTTATTTTTACTAAAATACCTTGTTGAGCTTTTGATAGGCAGTGAATTAAACTTATAAATAAATTTGGAGAGAAATGACATTTTCATCATGTTGAGTCTGCCAATCCATACACTTTGTATGTGTTTCCATTTATTTAGGTCTTTGATTTTTTCTCATCAGTATTTTGTAATTTTTAGCAAACAAATTCTATGCATATTTTAAGTATATGCAAAATTATTTCATTTTATTCAGAGAAATTATAATTGTCATTGTATTTTAAATTTCAGTTTCTGCATATTCATTGTTAGTATACAGAACTATAATTGATTTTTGTGTGCTAAACTTGTATCCTCCCACCTTATTGAATTTATTGATTAGTTTAAGAGTTTTTGTAAACTTTTTGGGATTTCCTATGTAAAAAATCATGGCAATGCAAATGGAAATAATTTTATTTTTTTTTCTAATCTGCATGCCTATTTAGAGCTTCCAGAACTATACTGAAGAAGACTAGTGAGAATGAACATTTGTATCTAACTAACAGTTCTAAAAACACACTGCAAAACAAGATACTTTCAGAGAAAGAGGTCTTGGCTTGGTCCAGCTTTTTGAAAGAGCCTGGACTGTCTAATGTGGATAAGTATAACAAATATAAAAGTCTTTCTCAATATTTGAGAACTAATTTTTGATAAAAAAAAAATGATAACAGCCTTATGTTGCTACATGATGCTGAGCAGGATTTTAAAAAAAAAAACCTGCAAAAGGAAGATTTTGGCTAAGAAGAGAGCACTCTAGTAAGAATATTCTCTGACATTGGTAAAGATATCTGACAGAGGATTTTTTCTCTTTTTAAAAGATATTTAAAACAGTGGCAAGATTGTTTCTATGAAAGAGGGCTGAGTAGAAAGTGTGTTCCTCCCTGAGTCTCAGGTGGCTTCTAAGGACCCTTTTCATTCTCCATTCTGTCATGCTAGGATTCTATGATTGCCTCCTTCTACAGCTGAGATCCGGCCACTGCACTCCAGCCTGGGCAACAGAGCAAGACTCCGTCTCAAAAAAAAAAAAAACAAAAAAACACACGTTTCTTTTTGTGATTACTAAATCATGTCTTCTTGTGCATGCATGATTTAAGGCATAGGAAAAGTTCTCAGTTCATAAAGCTAATAGATAATGGATGGCTGTGGTTATAATAACCGAAGTATCACTATGGCATGAAGAAAATACAATTTTAAATAGGCTTGATGGATAGTAAGCGTAGTCATTAAACCTCAACCACTTTTTAAATAATTGTGCTTTTTTTTCTATTTTAAATACACACTCTCCATTTTTTTTCTGCTCTATCTTTGTAATTTCTCCCCAAAGCAGTGTTAAGTGATATTTTGAGTTATCCACAAAGAATTCTTGCTTCCTTGGGCTTGGTTCTCATGATTATAATTACCTTCTTTGTATCATTTGGGTACAGAGTTAACAAAAATGGAATAAAAAGAACAGGAGGAGAAATAAGGATGAAGTGTGAAGCCAGGACTAGATTGAGCAAAGGAGGCATCCAGGGCGTAAATGTAAGAAGTCACTTACCCTCAGAAAATGCAAGTGCTGGTTTGGCACCAGAGAGTGAGTATCTCCTAAAGTGGTGTTCCCTGGACATCTAGCTTGTTGCAGCTTAGTCCAGGCCCCAGGCTTCTGACTCATCCTTAAGTAACACAAGCAGAAAGATGTCAGCTAAGGAAGGAATTTCCAATCAATAGTAGAAAATTTTATTTCTAATATCATCAAATTTCAATGCACTGAAAGAAAAAGATTAATTTGTGAAACATAATGTTCATGCAGCTTTATTTTTTCACAGTGATTTCTTATACAGTGCCTTGTCTTTTTCTTTCATGACTTCAAACTTTTCATATTAAATGATATAAATCATAACTTTTGTAGGCTGAAAAATTTAATATTGGATATTCTATGTGGTTGGTTCAACCTATTACTATATGGTATAGTGGAACAAATGTGAGCTAAGGAGCCATCTCTGTTACAATTCCGAGTATGTCATTTAGCAGCTCCAGGTGCTGGAAAATGACCCACCACTTTGGTTTTCTGATTTGTAAACTGAGATTACAGTGATCTTTCAGGACTGTTTTGATGATTAAATAGGAAGACATAGCTATACTACTAATAATAATTATGATTATCTGCTAGACCTGATTATTGAAGAAATGCCAGGGTCGATGTCCAAAGCAGTTATGGCAGTACAAGTATTAGGGCAGAAGTATGGTGAATATTGTATGGTGCCCTAGATTAGAGATTTCCAAACCAGTCTGAGTATCAGATTCTGACACAGTTAGTGCAGATTGTAGCGTAATTAACTGTCTTTTTAATAACCTCCACAGGGATTGAAATGTGCTGCCACATTTACCAGGCTTCCCTAGATAGCAACAAAGATCCCTTTTGATTCTAAGTCTTATAATTGTTTATCAGATTCTGTTTTTAGCATTTTTTTTCTTTCTCAGCAACCACTCAAGATTCCTTTACTTTATTCTGTAATTTCCTCTCAGAGAAGGCACCAGGCTAACTTGATGTGTGCCTTCCTTGTGTGCACAGGGGAAGCCTTTTGTTCTAGCATTATCCTGTGAATCTGCCAGTGCTGCTGTGCATTTCAAGGACAACAACTTTTTAATTAAAAAAAAAAGTCAAACAAGATTACTTAGTTTTCTCCTTTAAAAGGCATCGTTGTCAGGTCCCATGAAATCCCTTTTCTCTTTACCTCTCTTTCTTTAAGGTATTTAAGTTCAGCAACATCCTTTGAGTCAACTTATGGATAAAAAAGATGTTTCTTGGTCTGCTGCTATTGTCTGTAACTGCCATGGTAAAACAATCCATGCCAATAGCCCAGCCTGCTGAGCTGCCACTGATAAGAGTCCCCCTCCCCTTTCCTCGGTCTGGCATCTTGTTCAGATAATACAGCAAAAGCTCTATTACTCTCTGGGGATCAACTTGAGTGTCATCTTGGTGGCTCACAGACAGCATCCTGGCTTGTGGACAAGGATCCTTGGGCACAAATCAGAGTGCATTTATCACTAAGTGTATTTATCACTGAGTGTCTGGGGATCTTACCCCTTGTGTAGTAAAAACCTATATGGTACCTTCCACCAGACATCCTGAATTTTATTCCACTACATATTCTTACTAGATTAAATCTAGCTCATTCTAGAAAAAAGAAGCTTTCAACAGAGTTGTTGGTATTTTAGGACTAAATATGAAAGATAAAATGCAGCTTTTCCATGTTATAGCAGAAATACAACTTTCACATAATTGAGGTTGTTGCTTTATTCATATAACATTGTCATTCAAACAGTAGACTCTTAGCTGCAGAGAAATAGGAAGAGTCTTAGAAGTCATTGATTCTAACATCTACTCCACTGGGACTTCTTTACAAAAACTACCTGATAGGTTTTCATCAAAGCCTCTGAAGTCTTCCATTGATTTGAAGCTCATTGCATTATATGGAAGTCTATTTAGCTTGGAAATTCCCTATTTTTAATAAAGTATTTTGAAATATTAACCATCCTCTCTAATATCTAACCATTTATCTTATTTACAATCTTAAAAAGTACACATAATAAATTTAATTTTTCTCTATGGAAGTTCTTCAAATATTAAGTTACAGTTATATCTGCCATTTCTTCCCTTCTTCAGTTAAAATAACCCTGATTCTCTAGCCTTTGCTTGTCAGAGTGTTAAACACCCATGTAATTCTGCTCACCTTCTTTTTAGATTACCTAGGATCTTTTAAGTACTCAAATGCATAAATATGGTCTGACCAGGTAAGGCTAGAGTGAAATTATAATCTTTCTTACCATAGATACTATACTTTATTAATACAGTCTTGTCACATTAACATGTTTGCATATCTTCTTACACTTTTGAATCTTAGTAAATTTGAGGTCAACTGAGACTCCCTGTAGTTTTCCCCAAAACCTGATAATAAGTCAAGAGTTAAGAAGATATGAAGAGAGAGGAAATTAAGCTGGAGTGTACTTTGGTCCCAGCTCCACTACAACACTATTTTGTGATCACAGGTAAGTATCTAGTCCCTTGTTTCTTCAACTGTAAATGGAAGGTTTAGATTAAATGATTTGTAGGGTTTAGTCAACCCATGTGTTTATTTTCATGCAGACAATTTGTTTTTTAATCAAAATGTGGGACTTTTCATTTACACCAACAAATATTCCATGTTTTAGAAGTGTTTGTGTATATCATAATCCTGTTGATATTCTCATTTTAAAATTGGAATCCATAGATAAACAGACACAGAATTCAGTTACTCTCTGAGAAGCTCCTAAATGTGAAAATGAGTAAAACATGTTTGATTCCAACATGGTGTAGAGAGAAAACACTTGTGCTGCTTAAGGTTCAATTAGGGAAGTATACCACTATTATGGGTCAACTTACGGATAAAAAAGATGTTTCTTGGTCTGCTTCTATTGTCTGTAACTGCCATGGTAAAACAATCCATTAAGTTACAGTTATGTCTGCCATTTCTTCCCTTCTTCAGTTAAAATAACCCTGATTCTCTAGCCTTTGCTTGTCAGAGTGTTAAACACCCATGTAATTTTGCTCACCTTTTTAAATTACCTAGGATCTTTTAAGTGCTCATATGCATGAATATGGTCTGACCAGGTAAAGCTACAGTGACAGATTAGAATGGACAGGATTGTGGAAGTTGTTGAAGATATTTACGGGAGGCTATCGCCTGTGCATCTGGTGGTGGGCCTACAGTCTCTATATTCAGTAGGGCTGGCAGTTGGGAAAAAAATACTGAACACAAACTGGGAAATGAGGACAGACTAGAATTTGTGAGGATAAATTGGAACCCATGTGTACAGACGGAAGTCCTCATCTTTGTCTACCTTGAACCTTGACAAAGTGGGTGACCTGCAGAAAAAGCTGGACCCTTTTCCAACCAACTATAGGTACATCTGGTCCAGCACTTAGAGAGTCTGAAGGAGATATGAAGGGAAATAGGGGAAGTGAGGCCCAGCTGACCCGACACTGAGGGGTCCCAGCATATTAGCAATTATTGAGAACGCTCTGTCGCGGTGAAAGAATGCTACATTAACCTTTATTTCTGCTTTCTAGATCTCATGCAAATTTCCTAGTGGTTAATACTAACTCAGAATGATATAGGAAAGGGAATGCTGAGGAATTCACTTTCAGATCAACACAACACAGTACAAAACCACCATAACGATAGCGTTTTCTGACTTAGTATTCGAAGGTCTATAAAAGAATATACAGGCAACACATAAAGCAAATGTTAAAACAAACAGTTCTGGTATAAATTGCTTTGATTACATAATGGAGTATAATAGTATAATAACTAAAAAGTCTAAAATAGCATTTTCAATAATAAAATAAAAATAAAATTCATCGGTACATAAACGGACTTTAGGTGACACATCCACTTAGTACATTTTGAATATGTGTATGTAAGTATGTGTGCATATGTGCATGCATGAGAGATCATGGCTGTTTCATGAACAAGGGTCCTAGCAGCATTCTTTCTTCTGAGGTTTCTCTCTTGATCTTTCCCTCCTTGCTCACACTTTATGATTACATTTGTAGATGGCATTATTTAGTTTGCACTCAATATTGTTTGCTCATCATGGAAAGGAGTCTTTGGTCAGTACAGTCTGTCATTGTGGTTTCAAACAAAGAAGTATGTCATTGCTAGATATCTTTATCCTGAATAGTTATAATTACATGTAGTGTTAAAATAATACTACTATTTTGAATACTCAAAGTACATCCTGTGGTCCATAAATAAATAGAACTAAGTATTTTAAATATGCCTAAAGACTCAGCAACAAGGTATTCTGTTCTCATTTGTATTAGGGTTCTTCAGGAAATCATAACCAATAGAATACACACACACACACACACACACACACACACACACACACACACACACATATGCAGAAAGATATTTGCCATAAAGAATTGGCTCACATGATTATGAAAGCAGCCAAGTCCCAATTTCTGTAGTGTTATTCAGCAGATCCGGTAGAGCCAATGGTGTGCATATGGTGCAATTCCAGTCCAAAGGCCTGTAGGCCCAAGACGCAGAAAGAGCTGATGTTTCAGCTCAAATCTAAAAGCAGTCAGTTGGAGAATTTTCTCCTACTGGGGGAGGGTCTGTCTTTTTGTTCTATTCATGCCTTCAGCTGATGGAATGTGGTCCATCCGCATTAGGGAGGGCAATCTGCTTTTCTCAAGTCCACAGATTTAAATGTTAAGCTCACTCAAAACTTCTTCACAAAAGCACCCAGAATAATGTTTAACTCACTATCTGGGCACTGTGGCCCAGCCAAATTGACACAAAAAATTAAACATCATGTCATTGAAGGTTAAAACGGGACTTAAAATGATTTGCACTAAATTTGATGTAGTTTACAGTCTTATTCTTTTTTTTTTTTTTTTTTTTTTTGACAGAGTTTTGCTCTGCTGCCCAGGCTGGAGTGCAATGGCACGATCTCAGCTCACTGCAACCTCTGCCTCCTGGGTTCAAGACATTTTCCTGCCTCAGCCTCCTGAGTAGCTGGAATTACAGGTGCGTACCACCACGCCCGGCTAATTTTTGTAGTTTTAGTAGAGACCAGGTTTCTCCATGTTGTCCAGGCTGGTCTCGAACTCCTGACTTCAGGTGATCCACTCGCCTCGGCCTCCCAAAGTTCTGGGATTACAGGCGTGAACCACCGCGCCTGGCCTTAGTTATTCTTTACTTGCCTTCAAATGACCAAATCAACCAAAACAAAAGAATTGTCTTAAACTCTACAAAATGATCTGGGGTTAATGAGGAAGAAAGAATGGATAATGACTTTTTATTTGACCTACTAGAGGTAAAGCACATCTTTTGCGTCTAAGAAACTGACTTTTATGTCTGTTCTGTACTCTGAAATCTTTCCTTTATACCTTATCATCTCCAGCTTACTATTAGGTCTTTCCCCAACTAATTTTACTACATGTCACTCCTAGAATGCTAAACCATTACAGACAGCCCAGAACTTTCTGTATGTAGTAGGGCAAGATGGTAAATTAAAGAGGTGCTTGTTGTGCTGTTTTGCCAGATAAGGAAAGTTGAAAGGGAATTAAAAGTTTCAAGAGGTCATTAAGAACACCTTGGTGTTGGAGGATGGTGACAAATAAGATTTAGATGCTGATGACCTGTTTAATGTCAGGAGGAAATTTTATCTGTGTAATTGTCATAAATTGTTGGTATTTACCTATTCGTCATTTACTTAGAATTAGGCTATGCATTGGCACACTAAAACAACAACAACAAAATCTAGTTGTTTTTGATAGCCATATGTGTTACATAGCATTTCTATTTTTATTGAAACCTCTGGATTCTGAATAAACTTTTAGAAGAAAAATTCTTTTCTGCTCAATTAAGATCACTTAAATTTCTCCTATTAATTAAACATTAAAGTTTCCCTATAGTATAACTAATTAATTCTTGAAATATGAGAATCACCATGAAGAAAACGATTTATGGTAATCATTCACATAAATTCAAGCCTATGCCATGGTGATTAAGAGAGGAGATACATACAAATTAAACACCAGTGGGAGGAGACAAAATGTGCATTTTCTTATAACCTCAGTGTAAAATGACAGACCATCTACTGATTTTACCTTTTCATCTTAATTATAAAAATTCTTAACTTACATGTGTGATTTTGATGAAAAATTTAAAAGCTGTCAATTCTATAGAAGTAATGAACTGAATTTTCCTCAAAGGACACTATATTTAATATGAACTCAAGCCCTATATTTTTTCACAATTCAAGACACTTTAGAAAAAATCACACATCAAGTTTTTACAATTTTTACAAAGTTCTTTTATTGTTGTTTCCGAATTTCAAGGTAAGGAAGTTAAGGAACTGGTTAAAGTCTCCTTTTAGTGGGTATCTTTATTGGAACATGAGCCCGACACTTGAAATCAGTGCTGAAGCAGATTATCCAGGCACTATACACAGGAGCCATTTAGGACAAATAAATCATATTTTGTGACTCTCTCTACCTTAAAAACTGGTGTTTTATAGAAAGAGTCAGCTTAACCCCAACTTTATGGGTGGTTTTCAAAGGAATGAATATATTACAAAGATGACTGAGTGGAAGATGGAGGTTTATTCCACCTGCTGTGACCTGAGAATTGCCCCCCTAATTGTCAGATCAACACTTCTTCCTGTTCACCTGCCAGCAGAGGTCCACGAAAGATGTTGCCGAGACTACCAGCTTGAGCTGACCAACTGAGGGAAGACGTCTGGCTATTACTGCAAAGCCTAGAAAGTGGTTGCTGTTGGTGACTTATGTGATTTATCGTAGGCAATCTGAGTACAGATTGGAGGCATAGATGTAGAAAAACGTTAATCTGCAATTTGCTAGGTTAGAACTAGAAGCCAAATTGTGAATAACAGCATTGATAAGGTTAATATAGAAAATAACATCAATTATCTCTCACCTTTAGATCTACCCGGACCAGTAAGAGTATCACATATATTCTACTAAGGATAGGGTGAATTTGGCAAAAATATTATGGGTACTTTCAGAAGGTGCCTAAAAATATAAAAAGCACATAGCTGAAAATGTATGTGAACTTTTAGTGATTGTTAGGCGTTTGGACCATTTTGAGTTGTTACTTGCCTGCCTGGTTGTGAAGCAGACCAGAATTAGAACTAGTTCTTATTGTTTGTATATAACTGGTTCATGAAAAATCTGAGAAGTGTGAATCCCTTTTGCTTTAATATAGGTACAGAAAAAAATGCCAAATTTATCACTTCCCTATTCCAAAGTGTGCTTATAATCTGAGGAACTGACAGGGTTTAGTAGGAAGCACAAAAAATGGTATTTGAACTCAGAGAATCTGGGTTAGGAAGTCTTAGATCTTACAGTAAAAGCCAAGGGGCAGAGATGTGAATGGAGTGACTCTCAGAAGTCATGTAAGAGGACTTTAAGTATATTCTGTCCTGTAATCTGGAGCAATGAAGTCAGA